TATATATATATATATATATATATATATATATATATATATATATATATATATATAAAATATTGGTAAGACCTCTGTCGTAATTACTAGGTGCTAATTATCGGTGTTCGACGAAACATATTTGCGAGAAAATGGAATGAATGATTTCGAAAGTGCGATTGGAAGTATATCGGCCTACATTTTATTATATGTGTGATCTGAATTACATACACACAGCGTTAAACAAATTCAAATGGTTGCATAGTCCTTGATTACATAGCGCCATCTAACGATATCGGGTAGATATTTCTTCAACGTATGGTTTGAATCTTGGCTAAAATAGAGTTTAAGGTCGGTATTCATTGTCGAATCTTATTTCAAGATTGTTTTAAGTAATGTCTTAAGATGCGAATACGGTTCTGTGATTGGTTCATGACAGTTCTTAAGATAGTTCTTAAAATAATCTTAAATATAAGATCGGACTATGAATACTTAGACTTTTAGCTGAAGTATAGTTTGCGTCTCGGCTATTATTAGTTTAAAAATCCGCTACGAGCCGCCACTATTTTTAATGAGAAATCGAGCATGTAATACGACAAGACTACAAAAGCTATTTATTTTCAACTTATATAAGTCTACAATGCATAATGATACATTAGTGTGAATCCCACAGTTACTTATTTTGACTCTAGATGAGATTCCCACAGTTACTTATTTTGACTCTAGATGAGATTCTTGTCGCTGATATTTCGATTGCGTATACTTATTATTTTGTCAACGTGACACTTTTAGTTGCACCTAAGTGAGAATATGTTTTCAATGATATGTTTGTCATCCGCCTTCCTCTTAATAACTCCGCTAAAATGAATCACTCTGCAATGTGCTGGAACGATCATTAAAGAAGAAAATTCACATTTTAATTAAGACGCTATAAATGTCATTTATATTAGATTTTTTCTTTACGCGATGTCAAAACTTGTCAAAACGATACGTTATACGGTACATTATAGTCCGTATATTTTTATGCGGGAAAGAGCGCAAGGTAGACGAGGAAATTCCATGTCTTCGTCAGTTGTTGCATTGGAACGAGCATCCCGCGGAGGGCAGGGGTAAAACGCATGCGGCGATCGTGCATCGTCTTCGGCAAATAGGTCGCGACGATCTTGCCGATTGGCTAGGTAAAACTGCTTTCAAGCAACTGGGAAAGGATTTAAACGATGCCATCGCGCCATCCCCCGAAATGCCGTCCGTCGACGAGCAAACTGAAACCGTTCTCACGTGAGCATACAGCCGTTGTTATACTCGTTGTGATTCCAATTAATGGAAGATCGGGCTGATATAATATCGATATTTAATCAAACTTATACGTTAATAAAAAGCATATTAATTATAAAACGCATCCTATTCTTCCCAGGTTTCGCGCAACAGCCAAATCTGTCACTTGGCTTCGAGATGAAGATCCTTGGCTGCCAATTGACACGATACTTCTAGCACTCGTGCTCGGATTGTTGGGAACTTTGTTCATTTTAATCGCAGCCATTATTGTTCACACAATTCAGAATAATAAAAAGTAAACATTGAGCTTTACTCGTTCTCTTTTCATTTCGAGAGATTTAATATTTATATGGTGCAAATGAGTCGGTCTGATGCGTTTTAGGAACAAACTATATGCAAGGATTTACAAAATGATATTTACAAAATTATTTTTATATTTTCTCTCTTGTAAAACTCTTAAAACATAACGCAAATATGTACATATTTAAGAGTGTCGTACAGGCATAAAGTTGTGGCGAGCGATTTTTCACGACAGCGCCATTTCCATAATCATCAATGACGATAATCGGAGTTTAGCTCTCCGTATTCTGTGTTCAGAGAGAGAGAGAGAGAGAGAGAGAGAGAGAGAGAGAGAG